TGACCCGCACGGTATTATTTGACGCGTGCCGTGTCACGGGTGCGCGCGCATATGTCTGTGTAAATATATCGAGGATATCGATATGTAGAAGTCCGCGTTTTGGGCGCTCGATTTTGAAATCTTTGCGGTGCCGAGCGGTTTTCGAAGGACTTCTGCGCGCGCGCGTCGACGCGCGCGCGTGCGCTTCGCGCGCGCGCTTTGTCGCCTTCTTCAGCATGGGGTTTTTGGGGGTAAATTTATGATTATTGCTATGCGAGTGTGCGCGCGCAGCAGTTTTTGCAGAGGACGGCGGGGTTGGGCGATGCCGGTTGGGCTGGGATGGCGAATATCTAGGATGGGCGATGGGGCGGAATCATTGTTGTAAATTGCCTTGCGAGAAGGGGTGCCGATAATCCCGGGGGGGGGGCTATTCCATTTGAGAAGGGGGAATCTACTTGGTGCCATCTACGCCGTGGAACCATTTGGCGTAGTTCATATTGCGCAACATTTGTCGCGCAATCAACGCGGTGCAATGTGTGTTTTGCGCGCCCGCAACTTGGTCTGCAAGACCCCCGCGCTGGCGATTGCAACGAGTGCCTGACGTTGGCTGGTCCATCTGCGGCCGCGCCGGCCCAAGCGCTCGCGGCGGCCGGCGAGTTTGGCGCGACCGCCGCGGCCGCGGTGGCGCTTGCCGCCGGGCACGCCCCCGCGGGCGCATCAGTGCGAGTCGGCAACTTGGGCGGGCGCTGCGTCGCGGCGACGTCGACGGCGGAAGACGTGGTGATGATAGTAGCGTTGCTGGCGGCGATGCTGTCGGCGGCGACGGCGCGGCAAGCGCGGGCGTCGATGCTGATCGCGCCGACGACAATGACGGCGTCTTATCGTCGGCGATGGAGGTCTCGAAAAGACTTCGACGCGCGCGCGCGGCCGACGCGCGGGAGTGGCCCGCGCGGCACTCTTCGGCGCGGATCTCGCCCCCCCCCCCCCCCCCCCATCCAGCGCGCGCAAGGCCGCGGGAATTATGTTGGCGCGCGGCGCCAGAGGCCCGTTCGGCATAATTCCGTGGCAATGGCATGCGCGCGCTCGTGCGTTCCGTGGTGTTTTTTGCTTCTCCTAAATGTTATCGCGACGGCGCGTGCGCGTGGGCTATATCGAGCGATTTCGACATGCGCGCGCGCGAAGCCCGTTGTATAGCATTTTGTGGCAATGTTGGAACGCCGGCGCTTTCCGGAAGAATCTGCGAGCGCGCGCGCAAGTTTGTTCTTCAGATCAGCGTTGCGGAACCAGGTGTTTTTAGATGTTCTGGGGGCGCTCGATTTTGAAATTCTCGCGGGCCCAGAAGGTTCCAAAACGAGGACGTCGGCGCGCGCGCGACGACCCGCGCGCGCGCCCTTCATGGCGTTTTTTTTTTTTTTTTTTTTTTTTTTTTTTTTTTTTTTTTTGCGCGCGGAGTTCTTGAACTTGTGATGAACTAGTGCGCGCGCGTTGTAGTTTCTTGCTGCGGATGGCAGGGGGGGGGGGGGGGGGGGTCGCGCCCCTGCGGTGGTGCGAATTTGTGAACTCATAGTTAGGATGGGCGATGGGGCAGAACCATCATGGTAAATTTAATCGCTTCGCTCATTCCGCCGGCCCATACAGTCTCATGTCTGCCGTTTGCCCGAGGGCCTGGTGTCAATGCGGCGCTTTGGGGGTTCCTGGGGCCGCTTGGGGGACTCCTGGGGCGCTCGGGGGGGCATTTGGGGGGCCTCCTGGGGCCGCTTGGGGACTCTTGGGGGCCTCCTGAGGGCCCCGTGGGGGCCTCTTGGGGCCTCTTAGGGGCCTCGTAGGGGCTTCTTAGGGCCGAGGGCTCGAAATGTTGTTTCGTGTTCCCTCTCTGGGGCCCCTTTGGGGGCGTTCTTGGGGCCCTCTTGGACCGTTTTGGAGGCTTCTTGGGCCGTCTTCGAGCCCTCTTGGGCCATCTTGGGGCCCTCTTGGGTGCCTCTTGGGCCCTCTTGGGGCGATCTTGGGGGCCTCTTGGGCCGTCTTGGGGCGTCGGGAAGCCGAAAAGGTGGAAGCTCCAAAATCTCTCAAAAACCTATGGAAAAACAATGATTTTTGCCTCCGGGGGCCCTATTGGGAGTGCTCTTGGAGGCCTCTTGGGGCGTCTGGGGGCTATCTTGGGCGTCTTGGAGCGATCTTGTGGCATGTCGGACCCCTCGTGTACCATCTTGGGGGCCTCTTGGGGGCCTCTTGGCCTTTCTTGGGGCTCTCGGGGACGTCTCGGAGCCCTGTTGGTGCGCTCATGGAGCGCTCGGGGGGACCCGGCCGGGACCCGGCCGGGACCCGGCCGGGACCCGGCCGGGACCCGGCCGGGACCCGGCCGGGGACCGGCCGGGACCTGGTCGGGGTACTTTTCGTCCGGGGACCCCCAGGGGCCGCCCCGCGCGCGCGAACTAGAAAATTGTTAACCAGTTACCGGAGATCTTAGCACGCCTCTGGCCCGTTGGGCCGGCGAATTGCATTGCGAGAAGAGATGCCGTTAATTCCAGGGGGGGGGGGGGGGGGGGGGATTCTTATTATATATGTATAAATTTTGCAGAGGGCGGCGGGGTGGGGGCGATGCTGCGTGGGCTGGGGTGGCATGAGTTTCATGTCCAGGAATGGGCGACGGTGCAGAACCGCATGCAACTTGCAATGCGAAAAGGGGGGGGGGGGGGGGGGAATTCTGGGGAGTTTTTTATTTCGCGTCTAGAAAGAGAGTTTTTTGTGGAGCTCGCAGTTGTCAACTCCAGTGCTCGCGCAGTCATCCCGCGCGCCGGCCTACAACTTGTCTTGCAAAACGCATGCTGGTGCGCTTGCGATGAGTGCTTGGCGTTGGCTGGTGCATCTCTGCGGCCGTGCTAGCTCGCGCGTGCTCGCGCGCGCAGCGGCCAGTTTGCTTGGCGCGATCGACGCGGCCGCGGTGGCGCTGGCCTCGGGCGCTCTCCAGCGGCGCTCCAGTGCGAGTCGGCGATTTGGGCGGGCGCGGTGCCATGGCAACGCCGACGGTGGTAGGCGCGATGATGCAAGTAGCGACGCCGGGGGCGATGATGACAACGGCGGCGGCGCGGCCAGTGTCGGCGCCGTTGCTGATCACGCCGGCGCCGATGACGGCGTCTTCGCGTCGGTGATGCAGTTCTCGGAAGGAGTTCGACGCGCGCGCGGCCGACGCGGAAAAGGGGCCCGCATGGCGTCGTTTAGCGCGGATCGTGCTCCCCTCCCCCCCCCCATCACGCGCGCAAAGGGAGTCCGAATGATGTCGAAATGCGGCGCGAATGGCCCGTTTGGCCGGATGTGTTGAACTCCCATGGGCGTGGGTGCCGTTCTTATTCTTGGTAACAAGTGCATGACATATGAACAAATGGGAAAACTACGGTTGCAGAACCATGTCGGGGTTTATATGTTGTTTGGGCGCTCGATCTTGAGATCCCTGCGGCACCAGAAGGTGTTTCGAAGGATTGCGGCTTGTGCGCGCGACGCGCGCGCGTGCATTTCGCTTTCTTTTTTGCAGGAGATATTCTTGCGGCATCGCGCGCGCGCAGGCTTTCGAACGATCTCGACGCGCGCGCGCGAAAGGCCAATGTCGGACCATTTTATGGACATGTAGGTTTTTTTTTTGGGTTTGTGTAAGATTTGCAAGAGGTCGAGCGTATTTTTTTTTGAAAGTTGTAGTTGCGAAATCATTTTTTAAATAAAAAACGTTTTCGTTGCACTCGATGTTGAATGTCCTACGAAGCCTGTGTTGCCAACATTTTCCTATGCGAACAAGTCGTGCATTTTATACTCTTTCTGTAGATTTGTATTGCCGTATTTTGTATGACTGATGTTTACCATTCTTATTATTACCATCGTCTTTTGTAATTATAACTACTAATTTCGTATTTTTACCACGTCGCACCCGTCCTTTTTTTTGTTATAAAATGGGTGTCGGCATGTGTCCCGACGACGCGCGCGTGTGCAGTTCTTTGCGTTTTTGGGTTGCAAGCGATCCTTGAACACTGCCGTTTCTTGTAAAACGAGGGTGCGCGCATAGTTTTGTCGGGGGGGTTCGGACTCCAGCATGGCTGGAATGGTCGAGCGCATGTTCACGGTGAGTGATTGGGGCATAATCGTATGTAAAATACACATCCCCAATAAGTAGTGATAAGACCGGCTCTGGGAGGGTGGTATATATATATGTATATATATATACACGTGTATATACACACATGATTATATATACACCTCTTCATACATACATATATTTATATATACATATATATGTAATAATAGTATTATTAATAATAATACTAATAATAATACTAATACTAATAATAACAATATAATGGAACTTAGGCGGGCGCAGTCTACTTTGTGCTATTCAGGCCGCGACGGGGTGGTGACTTCGACAACATCGCCGCCAGACCAGCAATCAGGCCCAATCGACGGGCGGCGACGAGGCGGTGACGTGGCGGCGACGGCGAGCACGGAACCGCCAAACGGGCAACCAGGCCCAGCCGACGGGCGGCGACGAGGCGGTGACGGGGCGGCGACGGGGAGCACGGAACCGCCAGACCGACGTTCAGGGCCAGACGACAAGCGCGCGACGAGGCAGCAACGGGGCGGCGACGGCGAGCACGGAACCGCCAGACGACATTCAAGCCCAGACGACGGGCGCCGACGATGCGGCGACGAGACCGCAACAGCGAGCACGGAACTGCCATTCCGACATCTTAGAACCAGTTTCACTGCCGGGGGGATTATGAAAGTACTAAGCCTGATAAGACTATTAATATTCTGAGGATTTGTGCTAAAACTAGTTAACATGTTCTCTGTCATTGGGAAGAAAGAATCTAAAAAAACGAACGCGTAACATAAAACATACAGTTTCAGAGCGCCGCGCGGCTTTCTCGGATCGGCGCTGGGTTTCCCTGGCGGCGTCTCGGGCGCTCCGCGCGCCAGGGAGGTGGGCCCAGAGCCGATCCAAGAGCTCAGCGCGGACGCTCATGTTTCGTGCCTCGAAGGCATGTACAGCCTGGGCACGCCAACGACGGCCTGCCCCTCCGACGAGTACGTCCTGATCAGCAACTCCACCCTCTGGGACAACAAGCGCGGCTCGCCCTGACGTGGACCTGCGGGAACCGGCTGCGCCCCTGCAGCTCCAGATCCTGCGCGCCTCGGTCCTCTCGCCGCAGGGGTGTGGCCTCGTCACCAGCCGCGCCCCAGCGGAGCGGGCGCGGCAGAATGCATCTATCTCCCGATTTGGTTCGGCGCCCCCGCCCCAACGGGTGCATGGACGTCATTCGCAGCCTGAAGGGGGAGGGAGGGAGGGAGGGAATGAGGGAGGGAGGGAGGGAGGGAGGAAGAGGAGGAGGAGGAGGAGGAGGGGAGGAGGAGGAGGAGGAGAGGAGGAGGAGGAGGAGGGAGGAGGAGGAGGAGGAGGAGGAGGAGGAGGAGGAGGGGGAGGAGGAGGAGGATGAGGAGGATGAGGAGGAGGAGTGCATGGGGAGGGACGGAGGGAGGGAGGGGGGATGAGGATGAGGATGAGGATGATGATGAGGAGGAGGAAAAGGATGATGATGATGATGATGATGATGATGATGATGATGCTGATGCTGATGATGCTGATGCTGATGATGATGCTGCTGCTGATGCTGATGATGATGCTGCTGATGCTGATGATGCTGATGATGATGCTGTTGCTGCTGCTGATGGTGGTGATGATGATGCTGATGCTGATGCTGATGCTGATGCTGATGCTGATGCTGATCATGATGATGAGGATGAGGATGAGGATGAGGATGAGGATGATGATGCTGCTGATGATGATGCTGATGCTGCTGATGATGATGATGCTGAGAATGATGATGATGATGATGATGATGATGATGATGATGATGATGATGATGGTGATGATGATGATGATGATGACGATGATGATGGTGATGATGATGATGATGATGATGATGCTGATGATGATGCTGATGCTGATGGTGATGATGATGATACTGATGATGATGATGCTGATGATGATGATGATGATGCTGATGCTGATGCTGATGATGACGATGCTGATGATGATGACGATGATGATGCTGATGCTGATGATGATGCTGCTGATGCTGATGATGATGATGATGATGATGACGATGATGATGATGATGATGATGATGATGATGATGATGCTGATGATGATGATGGTGATGGTGATTATGCTGATGACGATGATGATGATGATGCTGCGGAGGAGGAGGAATAATAATAATACTAATACGACGGCTACGAAAAAGAAACATAATAATACTAATACGAATACTACTAATAATAAGACGACGTATACTGCTACAAATAATAATAACAATAATACTAACAGGAATAATAACAATACTACTAAGAATAAGAATAATCATATTGTTAGTAATATCAAGAATGCTAAGACGAACACTAATGATAATAAGAGGAGGAAAAGGATGATGATGATGATGATGATGATGATGATGATGATGGTGGTGATGATGATGATGATGATGATGATGATGCTGATGCTGATGATGCTGATGCTGATGATGATGCTGCTGCTGATGCTGATGCTGATGATGCTGCTGATGCTGATGCTGATGATGATGATGATGATGATGATGATGATGATGATGCTGCTGCTGATGGTGGTGATGATGATGCTGATGCTGATGCTGATGCTGATGCTGATGCTGATGCTGATGCTGATGCTGATGCTGATGCTGATCATGATGATGCTGAGGAGGAGGATGAGGAGGAGGAGGAGGAGGAGGAGGAGGAGGAGGAAAAGGATGATATGATGATGATGATGATGATGATGATGCTGATGATGCTGATGCTGATGATGATGCTGCTGCTGATGCTGATGATGATGATGATGCTGCTGATGCTGATGATGATGCTGATGATGATGCTGTTGCTGCTGCTGATGGTGGTGATGATGATGCTGAGTCTGATGCTGATGCTGATGCTGATGCTGATCATGAGGATGAGGATGAGGATGAGTATGAGGATGAGGATGAGGATGATGATGCTGCTGATGATGCTGATGCTGATGATGATGATGCTGAGAATGATGATGATGATGCCTATGATGATGATGACGATGATGATGACGATGATGATGGTGATGATGATGATGATGATGATGCTGATGCTGATGCTGATGGTGATGATGATGATACTGATGATGATGATGCTGATGATGATGATGATGATGCTGATGCTGATGCTGATGATGACGATGCTGATGATGATGATGACGATGATGATGATGCTGATGCTGCTGCTGATGATGATGATGATGATGATGATGCTGATGCTGATGCTGATGATGATGATGATGATGATGATGATGATGATGGTGATGGTGATGGTGATTCTGCTGATGACGATGATGATGATGATGCTGCTGCGGAGGAGGAGGAGGAATAATAACAATAATACCAATACGACGACTACGAAGAAGAAACATAATAATAATACGAATGCTAATAATAATACGACGAATAATACTACAACTAATAATAACAATAATACTAACAGGAATAATACCAATACTACTAATAAAAAGAAAAATCATATTACTAGTAATAATAAGAATGCTAAGACAAATACTAAATATACTACTACTACTACTACTACTACTCCTACTACTACTACTAATAATAATAATACTACTACTAATAAGACTGATAAGACTAATAAGAATACTATTATTACGAAACAGTACGACTACTACTACTACTACTACTACTACTACTACTACTACTACTACTACTACTACTACTACTACTAGTACTAGTACTAGTAATATTAATAATACCCTCAATAAGAATGATAGTAGTAATGCTAATGCTAATCAACATCATACGAAGAGAAGAAGAGGAGGAGGAGGAGGAGGAGGAGGAGGAGGAGGAGGAGCAGGCGGACGAGCGGGAGTGGAGGGGTGGTTGCGTTTGAATCGAATTTCGATTCCGACCGCGGCAAGGGGGAGTGGGGTAACGAGACGGAGGTGGAGAGGGAGGAGGGCGGGCAGGGGGAGGAACAGATGGAGGGGGAGGGGGGTAGGAGTGGGGAGTGGAAGGGAGAGGAGCAAGCGAGGAAACTCCCATTTTTCCTCCTGCCGCCCGTTCGCCGTGACCTCCTCCTGCTCACGCTCCTCGTCCCAGGCTTGCTCCTGCTGCTGCTGCTGCTGCTGCTGCTGCTTCTCCCCCTCACCTTAGGGACAACGATCGGGGGGGATGGGCAAGGGGGGGATGTATCGACCCCCAGTTGCCCATTGATCGCCGATAGGGCCCGATAGCCCCAACCTGCCCAGGAACGTGCGGATTCACGATCGGGGGCATTTCCCCGATCTGTCGGCGATGTATCGCCGATGCCGGGTCGATGCTCCCCCCCTTCCCCCTGTGCCTATCCTGCCTCTTCGTTGCCCCGTAGCTTTCCCCCCTCTTGGGATGCGGGGGGGTAAATGGCCCCCGAGGGTCTCCGGGGGCCCTCACACGGGGACGACCTTCGACCCTCGCTCGCTCCTCCTCCTCCTCCTTCCTCCTCCTCTTCCTTCCTCCTCTTCCTCCTCTTCTTCCACCGCCGACGCCCCAAAGCCTCGACCTGCGGTCCTAGATCTACCTCCTCCTGCCGCGGCCAGCGTTCCTCGATCGCGGACGCCCCTGGTCCGGGGCCTCCGGTCCGCGACTCGTCCTCCTCGAGGAGGAGGAAGAGGAGGAAGAGGCGGAGGAGGAGGAGGAGGAGGAGGAGGGGGAGGAGGAGGAGGAGGAGGA